TGGTTTTTTTTACTAGTTTACTAAATTACTATAGTATTTTATAATATAGCTATAATTACTATATATTATATAGTCTTTAATATAATATATCCTTTATAAGTAATATCCCTTACACTTTTAATATAATAAGGTAGTTTTTAAAACCTTTAGAGTATTTAAGTTTATATTATTTAGTATAGCAGCGCTATTATAATATTATTCTAGTATTACTAAAGTATCCTCCTGCTTAATATATAGTTTTTTATAAGAGTTATTACTAGTTCTTTAATAGTTAGGCTATTAGTTCTTTTATTATTATTTTTATAATATTATATCTTATTCCTTTTATATTAAGTATTCTGCCTAAATGCCTGCATTATAAATATTAGCCTATAACTTAAAAATGCCTTAATTAAAGATATTTATCTAGATTTTTAATAAGTATTTCTTAAGGAAAAAAGGTATTTAAAATAGGTCTAGTATAAGGGTAGCTACTTTTATTATAATAACTTTATAATAATAAAGAAATATTATAAACTTTTTATTATTATATTATTATAAATTAGTAAGTTTAAAGGCTACTTTTATTACTTATATCTTTTTATTTAGTAGATAGCTTATATAATATTTAAAATATCTTTTTTAAGGAATTTTATTATAATTATTATATCTAAGTATATAAAAATCTATTTATCTTATTACTAGCTTATTATAAAGGTATAATACTATAAGTTATATTTTATTCTCTTTTAATATTAATAGTATTATACTAAACTAATTATCTAAGGCTTAAAGGTATATTTAGTATTTAACCTAGCTTTTGCTTAAGAAAGTGGGTTATATTAAGGCAATTTTTATAAAAGCAGTAGTGTTTACTTACTTTTTTATAGGTTATTCTTTATTATCTTCTTTTAGTATAAATATATCTAATTTTAAATCTTCTTCTTATATTAATTTCTTTATAAATTTAATAAGTTATTACTTTTTTTATACTTCTCTTAATTCTTTTACCTAGCTTTATAACTCTTTTATAAATATCCTTAAAAGTATAAGGTTTAATAAAACTATATATATTCCTTAAGTTATAGTATTTATAAGTAAACTTTATATTATTTTTAATAAAGCTTAATTCTGCATTACTGCCTTTATTATTAAGTTTTACTTACTTTATTAAAAGCTTATCCCTTCCTTATTTATTATTAAAGGGTTATTACTATAAGATTATAAAGTCTATAACTTATTATAATTATTATTTTATATATTTACTATCCTTCTTTTTAATAGTTCTTTATCCCTTAGTAAAGATAAACCTATTAAAGCTAGTATATAATATAAAAAAGTAAAAAGAGAGAGAGAATAACTAAGGTTATAAAAAGTTAATATATAATTATTAATTACTACTAAGTGGTTTAAAAGTTAATTATATAATTACTTTTAAAGGTAGGTGTTTATAAGTAATTATATTTATCTCTAAACCTCCTTAAAATAAAGAAATAGTTTACTCTTTTTATAGCTATAATAACACTATAAAGTTATAAGCATTTTATACTAAGGTTATTATAACCTTATATATATTTAGTCTGGCTTTATACTAAACTCCTTTTAAAAACTATGCCTTTTTATAAGGACTGCATACTATAATCCTAATAAATTACTATACTTATACTAGTCCTTTTATAGCTATATACCTAATTATAATATAATTTACTAATAAGGCCTATAGCTATAATATAACACTAAGACTTTATTATTTCTAGCTGTTTTTTTTACTCTTATCCCTAGGTATTGCAATTTTTAACTTTATAAATATTAAGGTTATAAAAATAAACCCCTTATAATTAGGTAATAGTTAACTAAAGCTGCTATTATTTTTAAAATTATTATAAGGCGCTAGTTTTATAAAGATCTATAAGTTTTATAGCCTTTTAGTGCTAAAGGCAGTATAATTTAATAGTAATAAGCTTAATAATAAGAGTATTGCTGCAGGGGCTGTATAAAATTGCTAGGGGGGCTGTAGTCTAAGTACCTTACTTTTTTCTCTTATATACTATATTTCTATAAGACATTTTCTATATAAAATAAAGTTTAAAAAAATATAATAAAAATATATATTAGTAATTTATTAGCTAAAAATACTATATAATATTTTAAAATATTTTTATTAATTTTTATAAGCTATATAATAGTAGTAAAAACCTAGGCTAAGTTTAAGCTTAGTTTTTTATATATATTTTATAAAAAATTAAGTAACTTTTTATATTTTATTAAAAAGCGTTTTATAAACTAATAGTAAATACTAAATACATGCTTATATAAGTATTTATTTAGCTAGAAATTAGCTTTTAACTTAAATTTAGTTTTTTAGGCCTTTATTAAGTAAAAATAAAAAAAAATTAAAATATATTAGTTTATTTAATAAGCTTTTTAATAATACCCTTTTTTTTTTATAGTATTCTTCTAGAATTAATTATATATTTTTAAAGTTAGAAGAGGTTTCTATAAGTCCTTATATATAGACCCTTACTAAGCCTATCTAGGCTAGTTACAGCCCCCCTAGCAATTTTATACAGCCCCCTTAGCAATACTTAATAATAATAACTTTAATATATTTAAGATAGTAGTATTACTAAGGCTAAAGATAGTAGTAGTATTAAAGATAGCAGTAGCGCTAAAGATAGTAATAGTAAAGGCTATAAGGTTTAATAGTAATAATAATTATAAACTTAATATAAAGTGGCTATTTATAATATAATTTCTTAATAACTTTAACTTTTTTAATTTTAAAAATCTAGCTTTCCTTTTTTAAGAAAAGATACTATTACTACTGCCTTTATATATTAAGAGGGCATTAATACTACTGCTTATATATACTATACTATTATAATAAGCTTAAGCAGCTATAAAAGCTCTTTAATAAGATAAAGAGATTATAAAAGTCTTATAAGCAGCTTAAAAAGTTATAAAAGCTATATAATAAGCTATAAAGGATATAAAGCTATTTTAGTAATTTTAAAAGGTTATAGAATTATTACTAATACTTCCTGCTGCCTTAAAGGCACTAAGACTAAAAAAAGAATACTACTTCCTTATCCTGCTGCTATTAATAATATAGAGTAATCCTATTTAAACTATAGCATATTCCTATTTAAACCGTAGTGGTCTATGCAACAGCTAGAGAGACACCTCTAAGTGGTAAAGCCCACGCCAGCATAGCAAAATACAGTGTAGCACACTGGCGGTCATTACCGTCAAGGAGATTTATTATCACCAGAAGGGACAGCAGCAGCATTAGCTTCTAAGTTCTAACCGTCGCCAGGTTGCTTATGATCTCTGCGTAGCTGGCTGCAACTTGGACCTACAGACGACTGTAAGGAGGCCCTGCTGCTGCTGCCTCTGCTGCTGCCTCTGCTGCTGCCTCTGCTATAGTTATAGCTTTAGCCCTAGGGTAATAGCAGTTATAATAATAAAGACAAAGGGTCTATAGTATTAAAGATTGCAATACTGTTATTTATAGTGTTATTATGCAGGCTATAGGATATACTATTAGCTTATACTATATATAAGTATGCAGCTCTAGGACTAGTAGTATAAGCATAATAATTTTAATATAGGCATAAACTACTACAGTTTAAATAGGAATATGCTATAGTTTAAATAAGATTACTTATAATATATAATATATTTAATAAGCTATTTTTAAAGTAATCCTATTAAAACTATAGTATATTCCTATTTAAATTATAATAGTTTATATAATAATTAAAGAGATACTATTAAGTAGTAAGGTCTATGCCTATATAATAAAATATAGTATAATATATTAGCAGTTATTATTATTAAGGAGATTTATTATTACTAAAAAGGATAGTAATAGTATTAGCTTTTAACTATTACTAGGTTACTTATAATCTTTATATAGCTAGCTATAACTTAAACTTATAAATAATTATAAAAAGGCCTTACTGCTACTGCCTTTATTACTGCCTTTACTACTGCCTCTGCTATAGTTATAGCTTTAGCCTTAAAATAATAGCAGTTATAATAATAAAGGCAAAGGGTTTATAATATTAAAGATTATAATATTATTATTTATAGTGTTATTATATAGGCTATAAGATATACTATTAGCTTATACTATAAATAAGTATGCAGCTTTAAGAATAGTAGTGTAAGTATAATAATTTTAATATAGGCATAGACTACTATAGTTTAAGAGTATTGCTAGGGGGGCACTAGTCTTTTACTAGGGGGGCACTGGTTAAAGTACCTGAAAATTTTCCTTATAACTCTATATCTTTAAACACTTATAACTAAGCTAAATAAAATTAAAAAAAATATTTAAAAAATACTATTCTATTAACTAAAACCTATATATACTTAAAATATTTTTTTAAATATTTTAAAAGCTATATTAATAATAAAATTCTAAAAGAAACTTAAGCTATATTTAAGTATAGATTTTCTTATAATACTTTAATATAATTAGGTAACTTTTTATATATTTATATAGCTTATTTATTAAAGACTTATATTTTACTTAATGCATACTTATATAATAGCTACTTAGCTAAAAAATACTAATTTAACTTAAAATTAGATTTTAAAGCTTAATATAACTAATAAACTTATATTTTTAAGTTTAATATATATATTTTATATATAAAAAACCTAGATATTAAATAAAAATTTTAAAAATAATTTTCTAGAATTTATTATAGATTTTTAAAGGTAGAGGAAGTTTTTATAGGTCTGTAAGCATAGGCCTTTACTATACCAAGTTTAGCTAGTCAGTGCCCCCCTAGTAAAAGACCAGTGCCCCCCTAGCAATACTCTAGTTTAAATAGGAATATACTATAGTTTAAGAGTATTACTATTAGGGCACTGTTAGATTGCTATTTAGGCACTAACTAACCTAAATTAGCTTAGATTTTATTTATGCTATACTATACTATATAAATATAGTGCAGGGCTATAGCACCTTTAAAGTTAATACTAGTAATCTTGCTATAGCCTTAAAAACACTAAAACACTAAGATATTATTATTATTATTATTATTATTATTATTGCTATTATTACTAAAAGCCTTAATTAATTATAATAAAAGCAGTAAGCTTTAAAGCTAATAGTTAAGCTGCCTATTAGAATCCTTATCCCTTACTGCTGCTGCTATTATTATTACTGCCTTAAAAAGCTCCTACTTACTAAATCCCTTTACTGCTGCTATTATAATAATTTAACTTATTTAATAACCTTTATGCCTTTTTTTAAAGCTTTTATTATAACTATAGCGCTGCCCTTATAAAGAAGCAGGCTAGGAATTATATAATTATTAATAGTAATAGAATCTTAACTTATTACTCTTTTATTTATAACTATAAAGCCTTATAGCTAAGCTTAGGCACTAGAGTTAGAAAGTTAGTAATAGTAAAGCTTAACTATTTATTTAAACTTACAGCTTTAGCTAAGTAAAGCTTTAACTAAAAGTAAAGCTTTAAAGTCTTTAAAGGTTAATATAATTATAATAAGACTAGTAATATATTAGCTTATGTAATCTATTACTACTGCATAAAAGCGTAAAAAAAAGCTAAAAAGTTACTATTTTTTTAAAAAGTTTTTAGCACTTAAGAGATAGAAGATATTATTTATATACTAGTTAATAAAAAAGGCTTATTCTTTTACCTAAAGGATGTCTATAATAATTAGCAGGCTATCTATTAGTTAAAGCTTAATAGCCTTACTCTTATATAGCAGTAAATAAAGGTTTTAAAAAAGGAAGGCCTTTATTATATTATTTAATATTATAATAATAAGCCTAATAAAGTTAAAGTAGTCTTTTAAATATACTTATACTATAAGAAGTAGTAAAAGTAATTCTTAAAAGTCTTAAAGATAAATAACACCTATAAAATAAATAGGTTTAAAATATATTTATTTTAAGTAATTAGCATTATAAATTAGCATTTTATAGCTAACTTTACCTTTAGTCTTATAAATAGTAAGAAGCAGCTAACTTATAAGTAGATTTATAACTAACTTAATGCCTTCTACTATTAGCTAAAGATTTAATTACCTTAGGTTATTATTATTAATAAGGAAAATATATTAAAAAACACACTTAGGCATATTTTTCTAAACGCTTAGCAGCAGCTATACCTTTTCTATATTAATATAAATATTAACAGAAAGATAACTATATAATAAAAGGATCTTAATAATAAGGCTGCTAGCAGTAGTAAGGCTAGTAATAGTAATATATTTATAAGCAGCCTAGCTACTAACCTTAATACTAATAAGCTTAATAGCCCTAGCCTTATTATAGCTATAGCAGTAGTATAGTTAGGTATTAGGCCTTTTTATAAGGATAATAAGAATAGCTTTAAATAAGTATAGTAATTAGTTATTTATATTAATATTAAGGAAAACTATAAAACAGCTTAAGCAGGGCTTATTACTTATTTTAGTATATAGTAGTATAAGATAATTAATTATATTATCTTTAAGTATCTCCCTTTAGCTAATTAATTCCTGCAGTACTGTATTAAGTAATATTATAACTTTAAATAATAAACTAACAGCCTTATAAAGACAGTATATAAAGACATTAAGTTATTCCTCTTAACTAAGACTGGTAATTTATATTATCTTTATAAGGTAATTATATAAATACTAGCTAAGAAGGAATATAATTATAAGTAAATAGCAGCTAAGGAGGAAATAAAGCTTTATTACTAATATATTAGCAGAGACTAGCTAAGGCAGCTTTTAATAAAAGTTAGCTATAAAGCTATTAAATAACTTGCGCAGGAATACTATTAAGCTAAGGCTATAATATTAAAGGAGAATAATAACCTAATACCTTATAAAATAACCTGCACCTTTATATAGTAATATACCTTACCCTGTATATACTATTTATAGAAGAATATAATTAAAGGTAATAAGGTTCTTATTAAAGAGCTAGTTTATGCCTACTAGTAGCTAAATAAGCTATTTATAAGTTTCCCTCCTACTTTATATAAAAAACCTATTAACCTAGTATTATAAAATCTCCTAAAGCCTCTTTTTTAAATCTGCAATCTTAATATTATTAAAAAGCTATATAGCTAGCCCTAACTCTTTTAAAATTATAAGCAGCTTATTAATATATATCTATAGCTAATTATAAACTTAATAATAGCTTTAATATAACAGTAGGTATTACAGCTAGCTTTAATACTGCTATTACTGCTAACCTTAACTTAAGGCACCTAGCGCCTAGGCTTAAGTCTTTATTAAATGCATACTATAGCTAAGATTAAGGCAGGAGTAACCTAAGCTAGCTAATTAATATACAGCTGTTTATATAGCTGTTTATAAAGCGCCTGTAAATATATATAAATATTAAGGGATAAGGAGCAGGAAGGGGATAAGGCTATAAATACAGCAGCAGCAGCAGCGCTAAAGCTGCGTATTTAACAGCAGCGCCTTTATCTTTTATTAAGGAAGTTATCTTAATAACCTAGCTAAAGGCTATAGACTAATTAATAAGCTGCAGTATAGATATATATTTAATTTAATAGGAAATGCGTTTTTTAAAGGAATTAATTAATAAGGAATTTCCCTTTTTATAATTATATATAGTTTTTAATTACTATAGTATATACTGTAAATTAGCAGGGCGGCATAGCATAGATAAAATCTAAGCTAATTTAGGTTAGTTAGTGCCTAAATAGCAATCTAACAGTGCCCTAATAGTAATACTCTAGTTTAAATAGGATTACTTTATTTTTATTTTTATAAACCTTTTATTACCTTTATAGTCTTACTATTTATATTTAGTAAAGCTCTAACCCCTAGATTATTAATAGTATTAAATTTAATACCTATTATCTTCTTACTTATAACTGCGCTAGTAGCTAAGCTTTTTTAAGCACTAGAATTTAATAAACTTTAACTTAGTAAATAAACTGTTTATATAAAATAATAGTAATAATAAGAAAGAGGGATAAATAGTAATAGTCTTATAATATTAACTATATTAAATATAATTATCTGCCTTTATTAAGATTATTAGCTTATATTATATATTATTACTGCACTTTAATATAATAGTAGTAAAAGTATAATTTTATAAAGTATTAAGCCCTTTCTGCCTAAAAGATAATAAGTATTATTAAGAATATAACTAATAAGCTTATATTCTTTTAATAAAAGGATATATATAATAATAAGTAATAAATATACTATAAAAGGCTAGGTAGTCTTTTTACTACTTAAGCTTAAATTAAGCACCTTTAAGATAATAACCTTAAGTATTATATTAAGCTAGATAATAAAATAAAAGTATAAGGGGTTATTTAGACTTATTTTTAATATAAGGATATATAGTATTAATTCTTAAAGGTCTTTAATTTTAATAATATATATAAGACTAACTATTTTAATATATTCTTATTTAAGGCTATTAGTATTATAAATTAGAAGTTTATTATTAATTTTATATTTAGTTTTATTAATTTAAAAAAAGAAGATAGCTTTTTATAGCTTTATAAAAAGCTAAAGTAGCTTTATTAAAAAGTCCTAGCTTTAATACTATTTATAATTATTATAAATAAAGAGAAAGCACTTAAAAATGCCTTTACTTTAATCTTTTTAACTTTATAGCAGCAGCTTTATATTTACTATATTAATGCTAATATATAAGTATAGATTTAAATATATTAAAAAAGCCTTAATAGCAGTAATAATAAAGATAATAATAATAATAAAAATAAAGATAAAAATAAAAATAGTAATCCCCTTAAAGGCAGTATTTATAATAGTCTTAATAATAACCTTACTATTTATACTTTTTATACTATAGTAATATAATAAAAAGCTAAAGCTACTAAGTCTTAAATAGTAAGCTTATAGCTTTTAAGTAACTTTTAACTTTTAGCAGCTGTATAACTTAAAAAAGTTAATATATAAGGGTATATTTTTTAATTAAAAGTATATTATCTTTATTAAAAATAAAGAAGAGTTTTATTTAGCCTAGGCTATAATAAAGTTTACTTATACTACTACTTAAAATTATATTTTATATTATATCTTTAAGGAATATATATTATAAAAAAAGTAATAGGCTTATTACTTTATTAAATAGTATTATAACTTTAATTAAAAAGTTAATAGTTTTATAAAGACTGCTTATAAAAATATTAAGTCCTTCCTTCTTTTTAAAATTAATAATTTTTTATATTTTTATAATATAATCCTTTAAATAATAAAGAAAAAGAAAAGAGATTATAATAATAATATAGCTAGGATATAAATATAATAGCACTAATACTTTATTTAGTAATAAAGTTAGCTTAAAGATTAATATTACTATTATAGTTAAATATATTAAAGTTAATCTCTTTACCTAGTAGTATTAACTTACCTTAGCTATAATACCTTTAAATATTAACCTAAACTTAAACTCTCTGCCTAAGTATATATACTCCTTTATATAATAGTATAGCCTTTTATATAACTACTTTATTTTTAATAAGCTTTAAAATAGTAAGGCTTTTTATAAAAAAAACTATTACTTATAATAATAGCTAGTTAAGCTATTAATAAGATTTTTACTTATTTTTTATAAAATCTTAATTAATTTTATATTTTTATATTTTTTAAGATTTTAAAAAGCTACTTTTTTATATATATAATTTTAATATAGTTTAAAGTTTTAATAACTAGCCTTTACTTTTAAATAATAATAAAATGCTTATACTAATAATACTTAAAGTAAAGGAAGAGGATAATAAAGCTATATTAGCCTTATTATAAACTAAGGTATACTAGCAGCTTTATTAGTAAGCTTTAATATATTATTTTAATTCTTTAATATAGTAAGTCTTATTATAGTATAAGATAAAAGGCAGCAGCAGCTTGCCTTTATTATTAACCTAGGCTTAAGGATATAAGTAAGGATATAAGTAAGGATATAGTTATAGTAGTACTAAGGGGGTCTTAAAAACAACTATAATCCCTATAATAGCTCTACTATTATAGGGGGGTTATTAATTTATAAAAGGGTTATTAATTTATAAAATACTTTATCTACTATATGCATCCTATATAAATAAAAGTACCTTTTTTTAATTGCTTTATTTTTTTTATTTTAATAAGCTAATATAGCTTTAATTATAATTATATACTTACTAGAGAGTATATTTATAGTATTTTATTATTAGGACTGTATTTCTTAGTTTTTTTAATACCTTAATTTATATAGTTAGCCTACTAAAATTTATATATCTTTTTTTTATAAATTAATAAACCTTTTATAAATTAATAACCCCCCTGTAATAATAGAGCTATTATAGGGATTGTGGTTGTTTTTAAGACCCCCCTAGTAGTAATAAAGCTTTCTTATAATTATTTATAAGTTTTAAATTATAGCTAGCTATATAAAAATTATATATAATATAAAGATAACTTAAAGCTATTACTACTACTGCCTTAAATAATAATAATAATAATAGTAATAATAGTAATACTATTAAAAAGGTTATTATTATCCTAGCTATATAGCTAGTAGCAGCAGTTTAAAATAGTTAAGATAAGCTAGCCTAGCTATAGTTATATATATATTTAATAAAAAATAAAGAAAATGCTATTTTTAAATAAATTAGCCTGCCTTAATTACCTAGTCTTAACCTTTTATACCCTTCTTAATAATATCTCTTTAATAGTAATAACTACTAGTATACTATACTATATTTTACTATATAGGCATAGATATTACTACTTAAGGGTATCCTTTTAGCTATAGCATAAACTACTATAATCTAAATAGTAATTTAATATAGTCTTAATAGCATTATTTATTATTAATATTAAGGACTTTTAAAAATAAGTAATCCTATTTAAACTATAGTATATTCCTATTTAAACTATAATAGTCTATACTATAGCTAAAAAAACACCCTTAAGTAGTAAGGTTTATGCTTATATAGTAAAATATAATATAATATACTAGCAGTTATTACTATTAAGGAGATTTATTATTAATAAAAGGGATAGCAGTAGTATTAGCTTTTAACTATTACTAGGTTACTTATAATCTTTATATAGCTAGCTATAACTTAAACTTATAAATAACTATAAGAAGGCCCTGCTATTACTACCTTTACTACTACTTTTATTACTGCCTTTACTATAGTTATAGCTTTAGCCTTAAAGTAATAGTAGTTATAATAATAAAGGCAAAAGGTTTATAATATTAAAAATTATATTATTACTATTTATAAAATTATTATATAGGCTATAGAATATACTATTAGCTTATACTATAAATAGGTATATAGCTTTAGGACTAGTAGTATAAGTATAATAATTTTAGTATAGGCATAGACTACTTTAGCTTAAATAGGCATAGACTACTTTAGCTTAAATAGGCATATACTATAGTTTAAATAAGATTACTCTTATCTTATTAAGTAAGATAATAAGTAAAAAAAAACAGTCTAGTGTATTTTCTACTATATTAAAGAAGAATTTTAAGAATTAGGACTTAAAGTACTATAAACTGTATATAAGGAATAAGAAGACTATATTTTTAATAAGAACTTTAAGTTAGTCTGCGTCTTTACTTAAAGAATTAAAACTATATAAGAAAAGTTCTTTTAGGCTAAAAGTTAATATAAATTGCCTAATAGTTATCTTATCCTTAAGTTTATTAATAATTTAACTAATATTTAGTATATTATATAAATTTTTAAATAAACTATACTAGGGGGGTCTTAAAAATAACCACAGTCCCTGTAATAGCTCTACTATTATAGGGGGGTTATTAATTTATAAAAGGGTTATTAATTTATAAAAAAATTAGTACTTTAATTTAGGTAGGCATGCTATATAAACAGAGGTACTATGCAGGCTTAGGAATTTAGCTTTTTATAATAAAATAACCTATTTTTATAAACCAGTATATTAGAAAATATAATTATAGCAAGATTTTCCTTTAATTAGGAAGAAAAATATAGTATAAAATATAAGTACTTTTATTTATATAGCAGGCTTACCTAAATCTAGGTATTTTATAAATTAATAACCCTTTTGCAAATTAATAACCCCCCTGTAATAGTAGAGCTATTATAGGGACTGTGGTTGTTTTTAAGACCCCCCTAGTAGTGCTAATGCCTTCCTAATACTAAATAGTATTATTTAAAGTGCTTAAGCTAAGGAGGTAGGATAAAAGAGCAGTATAATAATACAGGCACTATTAGCATAAAAAAGATCTGCCTTAATAAAAAACAAGCACTTAATAATAGTAAGGATATTAAAATACATATACTATAATTAGATATACTATATAAAAAAAGGTGCTAAAAGCTATATTTAAATAAAAAAAAAAAGTAAGAAAAATGCAGATAGCAGTAGGGATATTTTAAATAAACTATTATAAAATTAAGTTAAATAATAATAAATAAAGAGGATTAAGCTATATTCTTTATAATAATTTAAAAAATAAGAGATAATTACTTTATTATATTTTAAAATATTTTCTATTTATAGCTTAAAAAGTATTTAAATCCTAGACTTAGGATATAAATAATATACTATATATTATATTAAGAAGTTTACTCTTAAGTCTTTTTAACTTTCTAGTAGTATGCTTACTAGTATTAAAAACTTAAGGATTATAGTTAAAAGAATTAAAAATATTACCTAAAAGTATAAAGTAGTTCTATTTAAATAGTTAAAAATCCCTATTTAAATAGTAATAGTTTATACTACTAGCTAGGCTAACCCCTTAAGTATAATTATTTATATACTTATATTAAAATACAGTATAGTATACTAGCAGTTATTACTATTAAAAAGATATTACTAAGAGAAGGGCATTAAGTTAAGACTAGATAATTAAAGCAGGCTAATTTATTTAAAAATAAAGTTTTCTTTATTTTTATATTAAATATATATATAGTTATAACTAGGCTAGTTTATTTTAATTATCTTAAATTACTAAAGCTAGCTAAATAGCTAAAATAATAATAACCTTTTTAATAATACTATTATTATTACTATTATTATTTAAAATAGTAGTAGTAATAGCTTTTAATTATTTTTATATTACTTATAATTTTTATATAGCTAGCTATAATTTAAAACTTATAAATAATTATAAAAAAGCCTTATTATTACTATAACTATATCTTTATTTATATTCTTAAGCCTAGGCTAATAATAAAGGCAAGCTATTACTGCCTTTAATTTTATACTATAATAAGACTTACTATATTAAAAGGTTAAGCTAGTATATTAAAGCTTTTTAATAAGGCTGCTAGTATACTCTAGTTTATAATAAAGCTACTAGTAATAATATTAATATAGCTTTATTATCTTTTTTATCTTTTTTTACTTTAAGGGTTATTAATATAAGTATTTTATTATTATTTAAAAGTTAAGGTTAGTTATAAAAACTTTAAACTATATTAAGATTATATATATAAAAAAGTAGCTTTTTAAAATCTTAAAATATATTATAATTAGTAAAAGTTTTATAATAAATAAGTAGAAATTTTATTAAAGGCTTTATAAGCTATTATTATAAATAAATATTATTTTTATAAAAAGCCTTACTATCTTAAAGCTTATTAAAAATAAAGTAGCTATATAAAAGACTATACTATTATATAAAGGAGTGTATATATTTAGGCAGAGAGTTTAAGTTTAAGTTAATATTTAAAAGTATTATAGCTATAGTAAGTTAATACTGCTTAAATAAAAGATTAATATTATAATAGCTAATTATTAAAAGAATATCTTTAAGCTAGCTTTATTAAATAAATTACTGCTATTATTATATTTATATTTTAGTTATATTATTATAATAATTTTACTTTTTTTTTATAAAAAGGATTATATTATAAAAATATAAAAAATTACTAATACTAAATAAAAAAAAGGACTTAATATCTTTATATACTATTTTAATAAGGCTATTAACTTTTTAACTAAAGTTATAATATTATTTAATAAAGTAATAAGCCTACTACTCTTATTATAATATATATTCCTTAAAGATATATTATAAAAAGTAATTTTATATAATAATATAAGTGCTTTTTATTATAGCCTATATTAAATAAAAAGCTCTTTTATTTTTAATAAAAATAATATACTTTTACTTAAAAAATATACCTTTATATATTAACTCTTTTTTAAATTATAAGGCTATAGTAGCTTTAGCTTTTTCTTATATTATTATAGTAAATACCCTAGGGGGGTCTTAAAAATAACTGCATTTCCTATCCTAGCTCTACTAGGACAGGGGGCATATTAAGTAGTAAAAGGTCTGTTAATTTATAAAAAAAAGATATATAGGTTAGAGTGTTGCATGCTATATAATAAGAGGTACTATAAAAACCCCTAAATTTATAATTAAGATTATAAAAATACTATTAAGCTACTCCTTAAGTTAAGGCAATTCTAAATCTATGTAAATTAGCTTTTTTAAGTGCAGGAGTGATAAGTTATTAAATTAGTACCTTAAGTTATATAGCATGCGCACCTAAATTAAAGTATTTTATAAATTAATAACCTTTTTATAAATTAACATGCCCCCTATCTTAGTAGAGCTAGGATAGGAAATGCAGTTATTTTTAAGACCCCCCTAGTAATATAAGCAGTAAGGTTATTATTAAGGCTATTATAATAAATACTGCCTTTTAAAGTATTATTATTATTATTTTTATTTTTATTATTTTTATAACTATTATTAAGGCTCTTTTATTATATTTAAATTTATACCTAAATATTTATATTAATATAATAAATATATAGCTATTACTATTTACTTAAAAAGACTATAGTAAAGACATTTTTAAATACCTTCTTTTTATTTATAATTATTATAAATAGTATTAATACTATAATTTTTTAATAAAAGGCTTTTAATTTCTTATAAAGCTATAAAAAGCTATCTTTTTTATATAAGTTAATTAAACTAAATATAAAATTAGTAATAGATTTTTAATTTATAATACCTATAGCTTTAAATAAAAATATATTAAAATAGTTAGTTTTATATATATTATTAATATTAAGGACTTTTAAAAACTAATACTATATAGTCTTATATTATAAGTAAGTTTATATTATAAGTAATACTATTTAAACTATACTGTATTACTATTTAAACTATAGTGGTTTATACTATAGCTAAAAGGACACCCTTAAGCTATAAGGTCTATACCTATATACTAAAATACAGTTTTATATACTAGTAGTTATTACTATTAAGAAGAGGTTACTAAAAGAAGGGCATAAGGGCTGCTAATACTAGCTAGGTAGCTAGGATAACTTTAAGCTATAGCTATAAACTTATAAATAACTAGGTTAAGGCCCTGCTGCTGCTGCTATAACTATTAATAAGAATAAGGGCAAGGCGCTGCTGCCCTTTATTTTAATAGCTAAAGATAACTAAGTCTTAGTATTATTATATAGGCTACTAACCTTATTATTATTTTATATTATAAATAGGTATATAGCTATAGTAAAAATAGTATAAGTATAATAATTTTAGTATAAGTATAAACTACTATAGTTTAAATAGTAATATAGTATAGTTTAAATAGCATTACTTTATATTACACCTTATACCTTATTATTATTATTTAATTTAATATAATACTTTAACTAGTTATTTTAAAGTTACTTAATCTAGGCCTAGGTTATAAAAAGGCTATATAGGCCTTAAAGGCATATCTGCTATTTATTATTATAAATATTAGTCTTTTAAAAAAATATAAGCTTATTAATTAAAGTAGTCCTATTTAAATAGTTAAGAATCTTTATTTAAATAGTAGTAGTTTATACTACTAGCTAGAGCAACCCCCCTTAGTACTTTTTACTATACTTATAAACTAGAATATAGTATAGTATACTAGCAGTTATTTTAAAGGGCGCTGAATATTATAATTATAAAATCAGCCCTGCTGCTGCTACCTCTGCTGCCACCTCTGCTGCTACCTCTGCTGCCACCTCTGCTGCCACCTCTGCTACTGCCTCTGCTGCTGCTACCTCTACTACTGCCTCTACTGCTGCCACCTCTGCTACTGCCTCTGCTGCTGTCTCTGCTGCTGCTGCTGTCTCTGCTACTGCTGCTGTCTCTACTGCTACTGCAGGCACGCTCCTTAATTCTAGGTTAATAATAATAATAATAATAAGTCTATTAAAGATTGCAAAATTAATATTTATAGTGTTATTATATAGGCTATAGGCATTTTTATTAAGGCATATTATAAGGGGGTGTGTAGTTATAAAAGTGCTAGTATAAGCGCAGTAAATTTAATAAGTATATAAACTACTACTATTTAAATAGAGATTCTTAACTATTTAAATAGGACTACTTAGATTAATTAAGAATAATTATAAGATTATATAAAAATAGTCCTTTTTTCTTTTAAATATTAAGGATTATATACTTTTTAAATGTTTATTTTTATATCTCTTAAAAATAATAAAGGAAGTTAGTTTTACTAAAGTTAATAAAGCTATTAATAACTTTATAATATAAAATAATACTAATACTAGTATTTATAAAACTAGAAAATATTAATATTAAGAGGTTAAAAATAGTATATAAAATATAAAAGTAAAAGAAAAAGCTTAATATTATATTACTATATATAATAAATAAATTTACTTATAAAATAATTCTTATAGCTATTTATAAAAAAAACTTATATTTCCTTAAAATTATTTAACTATATATATCTTTTAAAGTAATAAAGCTATTTTATAGCTATAATATTAAAAATATAGCTTTTTAAACTTATAATAAAAACTATACTATTTTTAAAGCTATTTTAAAATTATTTTTTAAGTAGCTAGACTTTAAAAAAGATAATAAATAAAAGGACTATCTTGCCCTTAGCTAAGATTTTTTTAATAATAGTAATAAAAATAGTATTATAAAGATTAGTTAAGGTTAGGTTATTAATTAAAATAAAAGTTTAAAAAAGTATTTTAATAAGAAAATAACTTATTATAAAGCTAGTTTTATTTAAATTTTATATATACTTTTTCCTTATTTTATATTATATTAAAAAACTCTTTAAAATATAAAAAAAGACTTAATAGCATCTTAATCTTATATAGCCTTATATTTAGTATTATAAAATTTAAGTTATAAATATAAAAGTCTTTTTTTAACTACTATATAAATCTTTTAGTTTAAGATTATAAAACCTTTATTATCTTACTTTTAGCTATAAGAATAGTATTAATATAATATTATAAAATATAAAGTTATATATAATATTCTTAAGTTATTTAGTAATAAGCTTAAATAAGGATTTTTTACTTTTTTTAATTTATAATAATATATAGTTATTATTATTTAAAAACTATAAATAAGTATTATAAAGCTAACTATATAATCTTAAATATAAAACTTAAAAAGTATTAGCTGCTTTAATAATTATAAAATAATAGCCTTTTTAATATAACTTAGCTGCTATAATAATATATTATTTTAAGGTTTTAATATTATAGTATATAAATATAAGTAAAGTAGTCTTATTTAAATAGTTAAAAATCTCTATTTAAATAGTAGTAGTTTATACTATTAGCTAAAGTAACCCCCTTTAGTACTTTCTACTATACCTATATATTAAAATATAATATAGTATACTAGCAGTTATTTTAAAAGGTGCTAAATATTATAACTATAAGATTAGCCCTGCTGCTACTACCTCTGCTGCTATCTCTACTGCTATCTCTGCTGCTGCTGCGCCTATTACCGCAGGCATGCTTCTTTATACTGCGTTAATAATAAGTAATAATAATAAGTCTATTAAAGATTGCAAAATTAATATTTATAGTGTTATTATATAGGCTATAGGCATTCTATTAAGGCATACTGTAAAGGGGTGTGTAGTTATAAAAGTGCTAGTATAAGCGTAGCTAATTTAGTAAGTATATAAACCACTACTATTTAAATAGAGATTTTTAACTGTTTAAATAGGACTACTTTATAAGTAAATTTATATTTAAATTAGTTTAATAGTTTTTAATAAGTTAGTAAGGCTTTAAAAATAATATTATTATAAAATAATAAAAAATAATAAAGGTTTAATAAAATTATAGTAAAAATAAAATATAGCTAATATATAGCTATTATTATAATTATAAAAGATAGTGTATTTAAGGTAATAGTATTATATATAGTTATAATAGCAGCGCCTACTTAATATATTAATATATTTTAATATAAAGGCTATGCCTTACCTTAGCCCCTTTTTACTTAAGTATATAAAGGCTTTTACTTTTTACTAAATATATAAACCTTAAGTAAAAGTTAATATACTTTTTAATACTTACTTAATAATTATTTTATAATAATTCTCTTACTTTTTCTTTTACTATTACCTAAGTAAAAAGAAGCTTAAATTACTATATTTATATATTACTTATAATAAGGCATTTTTACTACTACTCTTTTATAAATTATACCTAAACCTATTTTAACTACTTAACCTTAAAGTAATACTACTAATATAGTAATATAAAATGCCTTAATACTTAAAGGTAGTATTATAAACTTAAAGCCTGCTTAAGAGACTACTTTAACTAATATTAAGAAAGGGGTTAAAATATAGTAGCTTTAAGAGACTGCTTAAGCAGTCTTAAACTAGATTTAGTAGCTAAAATAGCTAGCTACCTTTTATAAAAGGGAGTAAAAGTTACTTTATACTTTAACTTTAAAAAGTAATACCCTCTTAAACTATTAGGTAACCTTTTATAACTCCCCCTTAAGTTTAAATAAAGAAATAAAGGTTAAGTATATTTAATAACTTTAGGTTAAGGCTAACTTTTAAATATATAATAAATAATTAAGTAACCTATAGTAAGCCTTTAATAAAGCCTTTTAAAAATATTATAAAGATAATAAAAAAATCTTTTTTATATTAAATAATATAAATAGTAAATACTATACTTATTAAAAATAATACCTTAATAAAAAGAGAAGTAAAGCTATAGCTTTTAAAAATAATTAAAATAAGTTTAAAAAATAAAGTAATATCCTTTTAAAAAATATAGCTTATTAAGACTTCTTTTATATTTTATTACTTAATAATACTTATTAATAAAATAACTAGTTACTTAAAAAGTTTTATATTTATTTTAACTTCTTAAAAAAACACTTTTTAATTTAAAATAAAAGTAATACTATTTAAACTATACTATATTACTATTTAGACTATAGTAGTTTATACTTATATTAAAATTATTATACTTATACTACTTTTACTATAGCTATATACCTATTTATAATATAAAATAATAATAAGGCCAGTAGCTTATATAATAACACTAAGACTTTATCTTTAATTATTAAAATAGAGGATAGCAGCGCCTTACTTTTATTTTTATATATAGTTATAGTAGCAGCAGTAATAATAGTAGTATAGCCTTATTCTAGTTATTTATAAGTTTATAGCTATAGCTAGAAGTTATCCTAGCCACCTAGCTAATATTAGCAGCCCTTATACCCTTTTTAAAATAACCTCTCCTTAATAGTAATAACTGCTAGTATACTATATTATATTTTAGTATATAGGCATAAACCTTACTACTTAAGGGTGTCTTTTTAGCTATAGTATAAACTATTATAGTCTAAATAGTAATATAGTATAGTTTAAATAGTATTACTTTAAAATAAAAAGTAATAAGCCTTTAACTTTTATATTAAGCTTTACCTTAAATTATAAACTTATATTAAAATATATTATAAAGATATTTTTATTATTAAAGAAAAAATAGTTTCTTTTATAAATTACCTTTAAGACTTTTTAAAGCCTAACTTAAAAAAGAAATAAAAAAACTAATAAAATAATTTTATAACCTTAATAAACTTAAAATAATACTACTTTAGTTATATTATATACCTTTAGCTATATAATAAAAAAAAAGTAAACCTTAATTATACTTTAATTAATAATAATTAAAATCCTTTAAAAAGAAGCTTTAAATACTTTATTTATAATAGCCCTATATATTTTATTAAGTAGTGCTTATAGTAAGGTAAAGGGAAGTTAAAAAACTAAAAGTAGCTAAGGTAATTACTTATACCTTAATTACTTTTATAAAACTGTAGGTAAAATAATAAATTTAAATATTAATAAAGGTATAAGGCTATAATATTATTAAAACTTATATAATCTTAAACTATAATATAGTTATAAATCTTATTAGTATTACCTTTACTTAAGCTTAAAAACTATAATAAGTGCTAATTAGCTGCCTTTTTATACTAGTTAGTATTATAAAACTAAGTCTTTTTAATTATAAAGTATAAGAAGTTCCCTTTTATATTTTTAATACTTAAGGTATAATTTATAAATTTATATAAGTATATATTACTATTAATAAGGACTTAAGAATAAAAAAAGACTTTATCTTATTAAAAATACTTATAATAGTTAATAAGTATATTAATATAAAATAAATAAAAAAGTAGTAGTTTAAAATTATAAAAAACTAGGTTTAAAAAATTTAATTTTAAAAACTGCTTTAATTTATAATAAAAGGTACCTTTATTTTCTTAATAATACTTTAAAAATATAGGATTAATATAAAAAAAAGTTTATTATAAATAATAACTTAAAAGCACTTAATATCCTTAAAAACCTAAAAGGCTTTAAGGATATTTTTAATAATAGGTAATTTAGTATACTTTTTATTTATAAAGTAATTAAGTATAAGATTCTCTTACTCTTTAATACTACCTCCTTTTATAATAATATTTATTCCCTTTCTTTTTAAAAGCTTTAAGTATTATAAAAGTACTTAAATAAAAACCTAA